TAGTTCTAATATCGTCATCATACGCTTAGAATCTTAAACACATAAGGTCTCCAGATCCGGTTGGCAACAAACCATAGATCCGAACAAATAATACCTATATGGCAAACAAAAACATCTAACATTTAGCCATAAAAGCATTTTAGGCAACTTTCCTAAAATAAACTAGTGCTCGTGTCTAAAATATCACAGACACTCATCTCACAATCTTCACTTAGCATTCTAAGTTTAAGTCTAGAAATCCTACAAATTCCTAGTTCGCTTAAACTAATGCTCTGATACCAACTGTGACATCCCCAAAATCACGGCCAGAAAAGACCGGTTTCATTTATGCTTTTAAAATAATTTCAGAGTAAATCCATTGATTTAAAAGAGTTGCGGAATTTGTCCCCAAAAACATTACATGATAAAATAAGGTTTATCAAAGCATTTCTTAAAGAAATGTATTTTCATTATATATCAAAATTCGGGATGTCATGTTCCGATACAGACACAAAAGCATAAACAATAAAACATAGACCTTACACAGTTATATATAACTACTGTCTCTATAAACAAAAACATCGTCACAAGTTCTCCAACTTATGCTCTCGCGCCACTACCTGTAATACAAAGAAACTGAGTGGGCCAGGCTTGGGAGCCTGGTGAGCATATAGGGTTTTCAACCCACAATAAATAATTATATTCAATTCACCAATCAACAATAACTCGATTACCCATTCCCGTTATCCTCACTTTACGTCCCTAAAACAACAATTATCACAAGGGACCTAATCTAGGATTTTCATTGGGATGGACAATACTGCAAAGGGGTTTCCTCAGCAATGAATGTCCTAAGGCAACCATGAGGGGGATAGAATACAGCAAATGAACACCCAAGTTCACCAACACCTACAGGTTATGAGCCTGCCAGCATTCCATAGGATAGTCTAGAAAGAGTCTGTGGTCGTCATCCATATTCTGCTGAATGACTAGATCACAATCACATCGAGGCCTCTCATCAGTTTATCACACATCAACTATCTACCCAAGTTCTACCCAACATTTTTGTAGATAACAACATACATATGCATTCATGGCAACTTAAAAACTGATAAGATACTCATTCAATACTCATCCCAACAAAAAAACAGATAACATATATCTACACGTATATTTATACACACGTAACACGTATTCTAAAGTAGATACTTCATATCTATGTGTTAGAAGAAAGGGAATATACACTCACATAGAACGTATACTTAATACATTCAACAATACTTGTATTAAATCGTGTTTATGAAAGAGACTATGCACTCACTTGATCAGAAGATGATCGGACAGCACTACGGCTCTAAAAGTAGTATTCTTCGTTTGAAACCAGAAGATCTTCACACACGGGCTTCTCGCGGGAGCTTCGGCTCGGAAACTCTTTTCTTCTCGGGATCTTCGGGCTTTGGGACTCGCTTCGGGTCTCGGGATGATACCGGGGCTTCGGGGGGGGGGGGGGGGGGGGGGGGGGGGGGGGGGGTTTTTAAATAGGGCTTAGAGAGGGTATCGGGAGTGAAGAGAAGGAATAGAGCAACCCAAACTCGGCTTTGCCCCTTGAATTTATTTTTTAGGGCCATTTTCAGCTCTCACGTCGTCAATTTTAAGTTCTCACGTCGTGAACTTAGTCGTCACTGCATGCGTCATCACAGGTTGCGTCTGACAGGCTCTGAAAGGTCAAATCACTGAGTTCACGTCGTGAACACTGTATTCACGTCGTGAACTCTGACACAGTATCAGGGTTCGCACCCCAAACTTCAGAAATTCATAACTTTCGCATACGAGCTCCGTTTTCGACGTTATTTATATCGACGCGTAGGTGAGACTATGCTCTACAACTCTCGTTTAGACTCCGTCAGCTAATTTTGAGTTTATTTTTATTATATTATTATTATTCAGCGTCGTGTCGGTTATGTCGCGAAACTTCGACAGGTCATAACTTATTCGTTATAACTCGGATTTCGGCATTCTTTATATATTCGGAAACCTCGTCACGACCACTACGTCTTCATGTATCAATATTGGGTTTATCTAACATTTCATTTTCACGCTTATTTTTATTCTTAATTCATTTAAGCCACACAATTAAGCAATTAAGCATAAAACACATAGTACTCAAATAATACATTCTTATTATTCCAAAATGGGTTACAAAGATTAACCTAGACTATTACAACAACATTAATAATGCCTAGCCCAGAAACACGGGCGTTACAGCCGGGTACGCGGGGCGTACTTTGGAAAAGGGCAGTACGCGGGGCGTACTGACCAGGATGGTCGCGGATGCTCTCTCCGGACTATGATGGGCGTACCGTATGTACGTTGGGCATACTCCAATCAGACCCAAACCCTATTTTAGAGTCTTGGACCCTATTTAAGCTTCTTATCTCATAACCTAACCCTAATATCTTCAGCCTCCATCCCTCTAAACCCTAGATATCGTCTATAATCCTCCATGGTTGTAATTTTGAGCTCATGATGTGCATTTTGGTGCTTATGGATATAGATTAAGTGCTTCTTTTCCAGCTTGTTGGAGGTAAAAAGCTTGAACCTTGTTTATTGTTAGCATAGATCTAATATGTATGAGTTTTTGGTTCATTGTGGTCCCATTGATGAGATCTTACGAATTTATATCATCTTTGAAGCTGAGAGTTACCACTCTTGGTGCTATTTTGGTCCTTGAGACATAAAGTTGCCATCTTTGAGGCTTAAATCCATCCATGCATGAGTTAGGGCCATTTCAATGGAATTAGAGTGTTATATTTTGGATTTGGATTCATTTGGGGCATGCAAAGTCACCAAGTCAGTGACTTTATGGGTATAGACATTGATTAAGACTCAGATATGTGGTTTGGGACGTTTGAATCAAACATTAAGTGCTTAATGGAAAAAGAGGACTGAATAGAGAAGTACGTTGGGCGTACTAGTCAGTACGTACAGCGTACAAGCCAGAAAGCGAGTACGCGCTGCGTACGTCTGAGTACGCCCTGCGTACTCAATCAGAGTGGGTTTTGCATTGATGGGCCTCGGTTTGGGCCATTTCTTGGACCTGGTTGTCTTGGGCCTTTGTGGGCCTTCTAAAAACAGATTTTTGGGCTTAATGATTTGTTGGGCTTTAGCGTAAGGCCCATTGAAGGGGTTTGGGCCCAATTTAGAAAATTGGGCCATAAATGGGCCTTAAAGGATTAGTTGGTTTAGGGCCTTGTATTTTGGACTTGGACCTAGATTATGGGATAACTTAGGTCAGGGGTTAAATGGTCTTTTTACCCACGTTTGGTGTATTGGATATTGATGTGATGTTATTTTAATCTGATAGCTCGGGGAGTCATCAGGGCAGCAGCTAGGGATTTCTTTCTGTGAGGTTCAACATCTGAGGTGAGTTTCCTCCTGGATTGAACGGGTCGAAGGCACCAATGTTGACCCTTGTTTATGATTGTATGCTTCCGGACTAAGGTCCGAGGTCGGGCGGTGCCCGATGATTATTTATACGCTTTCCGGATTACGGTCCAATGTCGGGCGGAGCCCAAGGAATAGTTGTATGCTTTGTGTCTTCATGACTCTTGCATGTGTATGTACTTGTATGCTTCCGGACTAAGGTCCGATGTCGGGCAGTGCCCGATGATTATTTGTATGCTTGTATCTATGTGATTGCTGTATGTGTATATTTGATATGTGTTATATGCATGCCGAGCTCAGCTCGATGTCGGGCGGGGCCCGATGCCGTGCGGGCCCCGATGTCGGGTGGGGCCCGATGCCGGATATAGTCCGATGTCGAACGGGACCCGACGATAGGACGGGGCCCGCTATATGTGATTATGTGTATGGTATGTCATATTTCGGGAACTCACTAAGCTTTGTGCTTACGGTTTTCAGTTTTTGTTTCAGGTACTCCAGTTTTGTGATTTAATTTTGGGTGAACTCACTAAGCTTTGTGCTTACGGTTTTCAGTTATGTTAATTCTGGGTGAAATCGTCGTTCTTGAAAGATACCAAGGAAATCGGAGAGAGAGGTTTCATCAAAGGTGTTTTGTGATTTAATTTTGGGTGAAATTGCGTCGTTCAAGGCGTCCCATAAGGCTTTTCCGTCGATGTCTCTGACTAAAACGATTTGTAGCGATTTTCACAAAATTTCATGTAAGAAAAAATAAGATTTACTTTGATAGATTAAGTTGAATAAAGAAGAATCGTCTTGGGGCTTACCTAAAATCGTCGGAGAAGAAGTGTTTGTGCATCAATGGAAGAGAGAGGAATATAAAGCGTGTTATGTGGCCGCCAATTAGGGTTTTCTTTCATGTGGAGGATGTAGTTGAAGGCTTTCTTGAAGAGAAAGCATGAGTTTTGTTGGATGAACAGAGAAGCCTTGGAGGCGTTGAACTCTGAAGGTTGTGAAGACGAAGGCCCTAGGCTGTTTTCTAGTAATGAGTTAAAAATAAAATTAAATAGTAAACTATATATATTCAATTTGTTTTCATATAAAAGTATATGGTATTAATAGATATCTAACCTATTATATAGTTCTAAATAACTATAAATAACTATAGTAGATCAACTACTAAGTTATTATTTTAAATTTAATAATAATATTGTTGTTCTCTTTTATAACGTATATTTATAAATATTTTAACTGTTTAATTATATTTGACGCAACTGGTAAAGATTCATCTAATAGTATCCATATCATATACAAGAACGGTAATTATTTATTGCCTCTGTATGTAGAAATCAATGGTAGTCGCACAAGTCTAGAGCGAATATTGTCGACAATTTTCAAATTATTAGAGATGAGAATAACATGATAAACAAACAAATAATTGCAATCACAAACTATGTTTGTACATGATTACCTTGCATATGCGTAATGACTCAGTTCTTTGATTCGTCAATCAAACCAATAATAAACTAAAAAACAATTATCAACGTTAATGTCCCCTTGCCTTATAAAAGATGCATGCCCCCATCGGAAGTACTCAAAGATATTGAAGCCCAAAGTACTACAATATAATCAAAGAGCAGTAGAGCACAAGAATTAGTCAACTGGAGCCAATGAGAGCTGGAGTTTATGTGTCTGGAAAAATGAAGCTTCTTATAGCAGTTCTTGTGTTGCAACTTTGCTTTGCAGGGTTTCACATAGTGTCTAGGGTTGCACTCAATATCGGAGTCAGCAAAGTCGTTTACCCCGTTTACAGAAACCTCCTCGCTTTGGTTCTCTTGGCTCCTTTCGCTTACTTCTATGAAAAGTAAGTCCCCACAACGAGACCAACACTTTTTTTATTAAACCTGTTAACTGGTTAAGTATTCAAGACATGTTCGATATGTTCTATCACCTCCGCATGGTGCTACTATCTCATTTTCTTATTAATTGATTTAGTTAAATTTGCTTATCTTTTTCTCCAGGAAAGAAAGGCCACCCATTACCTTTTCGTTACTAGTTCAGTTTTTCTTCCTGGCATTGGTCGGGTAAGGGAATAACATCATCCTTAAATGTATTTAATATATTTAATCAAAGCTCAAGTAATTTCATAAAAGATATTTATCTATCAACTATATATAGTTTTATATTCTTATAAACGTATTATATTATATAAGTCTAATTCATAAAGCCAACTATAATTTTTTTTTTCTTCTAGTCATACTAATATATAGATTTTGTTTTTATGTTTTCTCTTACTATTATTTCGTTCTTTTTCAAGAATTACAGCCAACCAAGGGTTTTATATTCTAGGGTTGTATTATGCAACCCCAGCTTTTGCTTCTGCCATGCAAAACTCAGTTCCTGCCATCACTTTTCTCATGGCTTCTGCTTTAAGGTAACCTCCTCAAAAGTTTCCTTTATATATATATATATATATATATATATATATATATATATTATATATATATATATATATATTATATATACACACAAGGGCGGAGTTTTATTAGGGCAAGGGGGCTGTGGCCTCCCCTGATTTTTTGGTTAGAAATAGACCCTCTACTTTAATTTTAATATATTAGGCCCAAAAAAAAAATTTGGGCTGTCGACTCTCCTATTCACCGATTTTTATACATATTATATTTCGACCCTCCAAATAAAATGTTGAAGCTCCGCCCCTATATATATATATATATATATATATATATATATATATATATATATTATATTTCCGACCCCCCAAATAAAATGTTGAAGCTCCGTCCCTATTATATATCGATATATATATTATATTATATATATATATATATCTATATATATTATATATATATATATATATTATATATATATATATAGTTTTACAAAGGTTAATATACTCTACTTCTACTTTAGGCTTGAGAAAGTAAACATTGCAAGGAGAGATGGGTTAGCAAAAGTTATTGGTACCCTAGCAAGTGTAGGTGGTGCAACTGTTATTACTCTATACAAAGGCCCTCCTCTTGTGCACCAAGATGCATCAGTTATCAACCATGAAGATATGCTTTCTGGCTCACCAAAAATGCTCAACTGGACTTGGGGTTGTATATACCTACTTGGACACTGCTTATCATGGGCTGGTTGGATGGTCTTTCAGGTTAATATATATTATTGAACAACACAAATAAAAATACACACATTCAAGATTTCAGTTTAGTATCTTGATGTTATCTTGAATGAATCTAGCGAACATTTCCAACGCATATAACTGAGAAATTGGTTAAAAATATATTGCAGGCGCCCGTGGTGAAGAAGTATCCAGCAAAACTTTCGCTTACCTCTTTCACATGCTTCTTCGGGTTGATCCAGTTCATGGTCATTGCTGCGTTTTTCGAGAGGGATCCCATGAAATGGAAAATTAAGTCTGGGGAAGAGATTTTTACCATCTTATACGCTGTAAGTATTAGAACTCTTTAAGGAGCACTACTTCAACCACATTTTATAGTTTTCTGATATTTATACATGCTTCCAACAATAACAAGAACACATACGTGACAGGGCATAGTCTCATCTGGGATCGTGCTATCTCTTCAAACTTGGTGTATTCAGAAAGGAGGGCCTGTTTTTGTTGCCATCTTCCAGCCTGTGCAGACTGTTCTTGTTGCTATCATGGCTTTTGCTATTCTCCATGATCAGTTGTACCTCGGAGGGTAAGTGAACCTTTAACATGTAACTTAGTCAAAGTCTTTGACTACCAAATACCAATTATATATCTTAGAACAAGATCGAAGTCAGATTCGGATTTTAAACAAGAGTCGGTACCCATGTGTGCTAGTGGATCAATAATTCTAAAACCATGTTATATGGTTTGATTTTTAACACCCAGAAAACAAATAAATTTTAAAAACTAAACTTTTCTATTCGACATATGATCAGTCATCATTTGAGATGCATGCTTTTGTGATGCAGATTGTTAGGGGCAATGCTGATAATGATGGGTCTCTACTCAGTGTTATGGGGTAAAACAGAAGAACAAAGGATAGAGGCAGGGCAAGATGAGAAGGAAAGTCCATTGACAAAGCATCTTCTCGATGATGACGCCAAGATTCAAGAATACACCACTGTTTCTGACATCCCTTAATTAACCTAATATTTAATATAAAGTCGGTGACAAGAAATATAAAGAAAACAGACCACGTTTAGGTTTCTGTTTCCATTTACCTTATTGTCAAGTCCGGTGCAAAATTCATTGTATTGAATCCATGTACTACAATGGTATGGCTTGTATGAGATTATTGGTTAGTAACGTGGCTTCTAAGAGTTGAAGTGCATGGATGAATTTAGGTTTACAAATTGCACTCCTATGTATTCATGAATGTATTACGTACATCTAGTAAGTCAAATATTTTCCATGAACGTTATCTATTATTTCACCAAAATATATATACAAAATACAATACCACAGGGGCTAAATACAATATCGGCTTTCTATGCAAAATAGGCTATACCCCCCGCAGTCAGAATGGAAGGTCTCAAACAAAAGTTTAGACTTGATATGAAGTCGAGAAATAAAGATGATATGAAGTCGAGAAATAAAGATGACAGGAGCCCCTTAGTAAAGATATCGACATACTGAGACGAGGACAACACTTGGAGCACTCGAATTTGCCCTAATGCAACTTTGTCTCATACGAAGTGAATGTCAATCTCTATATGTTTAGTTCGCTGATACTGAATGGGATTAGTGGAGACATAAACTGCACTGACATTATCATAGTAAACTTGAGTAATGGAAATCAGTGGGTAGTGTAACCCACGAAGAATGTTGTGAAGCCAATTGGTTTCGACAACAGCATTCGCAACACCTTTGTACTCGACTTCAGCAATTGACCAAGATATGGTACTCTTGTCACTTGGAGGACCAAGAGAGGAGATTCTGACCAAGAAAGACGTAGTACCTGGATGTGGATCTACAATTCTTTGGGCAGCCAGATCAATCAGCATCCAAATATGCAATAAGACCGCTAGATGGTGACACATACAATTGCATACCATGATCCAATGTGCCACGAACATATCTAAGGATACGTTTAAAGCTGTGAAATGAGGCTCTCTTGGATCATGCATATAGAGGAAACATGTTGGACAACATAAGAAATATCTAATTAGGTGAATGTTATATACTGAGAGCACCAACAAGACTCCTATAAAGAGTCGGACTGAAATCGAAGGGTCAGTGCCATTAAACTTAGGTGATGTATCAGATGGGGTGCGAGTAGGTTTGCAATTGGGCATTTTATATCATTCTCAATAATCTATGTGGCATATTTTTGTTGAGACAAGAACATGTCATGGTGGTATCTAGTGACAACAATACCAAGAAAATAGTTCATGGGGGGGGCAATTATGTCATGGCAAAATCTGATCGAAAAATTGTAATTACCTGTTGTAGAAGGCTAGAGGATGAAGCGGACATAATAATATCATCCACATAAAGCAATAAATAGGTTGTATGAGCACCATGACGGTAAATAAACGATGAAGAATCGGAGTCAGAATGAGTGAAGCCAAATATGGTGATAATATGCGCAAAACGGTGGTACCAAGCTCTAGGTGATTGCTTAAGGCCATACAAAGACCGTTGAAGTAAACATATATGATCCGAAAAAGAATGGTCATGAAAACTGGGTGGCTGGTGCAGGTATACAGTCTCTTGAAGATGACTGCGATGAAAGACATTCTTAACATCCAACTGATGAACAAGCCAATGATGAGACAAATCAAGGCTGAGAACAGTCATGCTGATAGATGCTTTGACAATTGGCTATATGTCTCATCGCAATCAATGTCAGGGCGTTGGCTTCGACATTTGCAACAAGTCCATCCTTGTACCGAGCTAACAAACCATCCATATTATGCTTCTTTTTTTAATAGCCAAATACAATTCACCTCATTAACATAGGATGCAGAGGCACAAGTATCCAAGCGATATTTGTCATAAGTGCATTATATTCATTTTTCATAGCATTAAACCAGTTAGGATCTCGAAAGGCTTGAGAGTAAGTTTTAGGAATGGAAGAGGAGGATGCATCAGTATGAAGTTTGAGGTTTTGAATGAGTTTGTAGATTCCATGGCAAACACGAATGATCATTAGGTGAGACTAGGATGATGTAGGTGAAGGTGGATTGGTAATGGTTGGAGACGATAGCTCAACAAAAGATTTCAGAGAGGATACCGGAGTGAGAGTGAGTGTACAGGAGGCGATAGTGATAGTCTCGATATGAGAAGGTGAAAGTCGAGAAGGAGAGGGGGTGGCATCAATTGGGGCAACAACAACGAAAGGGGTTGCTAGCTACCATAATTTGAGATGTGAGGCATTGAAGAGAGTGGTGAGTGGTGGATACAATATGGGTCAATGAACATGTTGTGGGTGTCATCATGAATGAGAAAATTGTATCGGGAGAGTGATTTGGAGTCATGGATACAAATAGAAAGATAGATTCATCAAAAACGATGTGTCCGGATATAATGATTTGTTTGGTGTGAAGGTTTAGGTAACGATACCCTTTATGATGAGACAGATAATTAAGGAAGATGCATGGAGCGGATCTTGGTTGGAGTTTATCTATGTTGTTGAGATAGAGGTTACGAAGGAAACCGAAGACACGAAAATAACCATATAAGGGTTGTTTGTTAAAGAGCTTGTGAAATGGAGTATATTTTGTAGGGTAATGGACAGGAGGATGTTTAATAGGTTAGTGGCCATATAAGGGACCTCCACCCAATACGTAGGTGGGAGGTGAGCTTGGAAAAGGAGAGTGTGGCCAACATTGTTGATTGTTCATAACACTCGTTTAGATTTCCCATTTTATTGGGAAGTGTAAGCACATGAAAAAGGCATGTGAATGCCATTGAGGTTACAAAGGTGGTGAAATTATTGGTTATCAAACTCTTTTTCGTTGTCACATTGAAAGGTTTGAATGTCATGTTTGGATTGATTTTTCACATAGGCATGAAAGTGTAAAATTTTGGAAAAGACCTCAGATTTTTGTCGAAGAGGATACGTCCACAAAAATAAGAAAATCCATCAATAAAAACGACATAATATTTAATACCACTATGACTTAGTAAAGAGGGATGTCCAAACATCAGAATGAGTAATTTGAAATGGAAACATGGTAAAAATTTGAGATACATCAAAAGACAACCAAACTTGTTTGTCTAATTTACAAGCATGCCATAGTAAATGAGAATTCTTATTATTACAAGAAATGAAATGGTTGTAATCTAAATGCTTCAAAGCATGTTGTCCGGGATGACCAAGTCTTTGGTTCCATGTAGATGGATTGATAGTGAGATATGATTGAGGTGTCATACTTGTTATAGGATATAGGTCACCCGAGGTGTCACATCAGATGAGGATTTGACAAGTCCAGTAGTCTTTCACATAAAAACAAAATTTGTCTAATTCAAGAGAGCATTTATTGTCATGAGTAAACTAAAGCACATAAATAAGGTTTTTAATGATTTGATGGGATATAAGAAGATTTTGAGTTACAAATTGTAGAAAGGATTTGTAGCAAGAGTTATGTTATCCATGTAGGTGGCATGAATTCGATATCCTTCACAAACTAATACAGAAAAAGAATTGCACTTATGATTAAGATTATACATGAATTGTCATGAAGGTACGATGTTGCTCTAGAATCCATATACCAGTCAACATTATTGGGGTCCTATAAATTCATAGTACTGAATGCTTGCGGTAATTTTGCGGCTCGAGTATTATTTTCAGAACATTGAGCCAAATGTCAATTAGAAAAAGGCTGATGTCTAGGAAAATTAACGTGAGGGGGTTGATAATGGTCTGAGGTAATACCAGCAAAATTAGCCTAATTTGGATGTGGCTGATTTTGGGATCCATTGTTGGGCTGAAAAGGAGTTGGTGATGGAATGAGTCTGACGCGGAAACCAGGAAGGAATAAGAAGGCATCAAAATACTACCCACCCTAGGGATGTTTTTGTTCGCATGTAAGAAATGCATGTCAGTGCACTACTGCTTCGGCCGCCTCCATGCATGTCGTCGGTTCTTCCACCACGGTGGTTCCGGCCACCTCCCTAACAATTGTTTTGTTCCTCTCTATTGATGTGAATGGAATTGGAATTTCGATTGTTGTGATTTGTGTTGAGAATAATGTGGGAGGAATAATGATCCGCATGAAATGCATGAGCCAGGTGGTTTTTGATGGGTTTTAAGCATAAGAACAATCATATGTGCTCATACAAACCCTAATGCTTGGATCTAGGTTTCTCTATTGTATATGCATTGAATCCAAGACTTGCAAACCCTAATCTAGCATACATAATTCGAAAATTAACTTATTACATCAGATCTAGATGTTTACCTCTTCAAAGATTGGCTTAGATCTTCTTTTCTTCTTCTCTTGAGCTTAGAGTCACAATTGTAACTCCTCTAATAGATCACAAACACCTCAAGCAAGAAGGCAACTTTGAGAGAGGAGGGAGGATGCTAATTTTTGGCCCTAGGGTTTCTCTTGGAAGCAAGTGGCCGAAAATTGGAGCCTTGGGGTCTTATTTATAGTGCAGGCTGCTAGGGTTTCAGTCTAAACCCTAATGGATACCTTAGCCACCAAGTAGCCCAAGGAACCTTCTGGAATAAGGCCCTTGGACGAAAATATGATGATCCTTCATCATAATTTCGTTCCCCCTTAGTCCATTAGGTTTCCCAGCCCAAAACTCAACTATCACACATTTGACAGTTTATGCCCCTTTATTTAATTAATCTCTTTTAGTCACCAAATTAATTTCTAATTAATTTATGACTAATACTAATTAAATAAATATGATTTCTCCTTTAATATATTATTAAACCATAATATCCTCTCTCTCATATCAAATTACCTTGTCAAGTTGCTTTGGTGAAGGCAACCCAAAAGGACCATGCATAACCAGGTCAAGTACATACCAAATATAGTTACGGGCTTAGACACTAATCCAACAGTCTCCCACTTGGATAAGTCTAGTAACTATATCTCACATACGACTTCAGGATCTGGTTAGCAAGCGTAGCTCTTATACGCTTCTGTCAACTCTGATCAAAATCCTGTCCTTCAGATAAGGGATCGTATAATCCTCTGTTCTAGATATCATGCTGACAATACTCATTATCCAGCATTTTGTTTCTCGATCTCTGATTTATTCAACATAGAATTTAGTTGA